AATGGACTTTATGGAATAAAACTATACATAAGACTAAATGGGTTGAGTTAAAACACTTCTAAATTAGACTTATCAATAAAAATCCCTTCTAAATTTAATACATATTTATTTTGTTAGAATTTCCAAAACCAATACGTTTGAAAACTCACTCCTTGTTAAAAAAGTCTACAAGCTCCTTATTGACAACTTGACAATTATATACAAGTATTAATAGGGCTTCTGACAATACAATTATATATAACCAAATGTAGTTATTTTGTCAAAAGGCTCCAAATATTTATTCTTAAATTCTTATAATTTTAAAACACTTTCTTTTCTACGTGGCAACTTTCTTTGATTGCCTTTCATGTTTTCTATTTTTCTTATTTTTTATTTATTTGATTAATTAAAATTAAAATTAATTTCATTACTTATGGATAAAGATTTGAATTTCAAAATTCCTCCATATAGATAAACATATAAAAACTGAAATTTGATTTTATAATATACAGATAAAGATAAAAAATAAACAATTAATTTAAAAAAATTAATTTCATAACTTATAGATAATTTAAAATTTCTTCCCATACATAAACAAATAAAAGTTGATAAATAACTTATAAAAATTAATTTTATGGCCTACAAATAAAGATAAAGATTAAATAATTAATTTTTTTTTTTAAAAAAAACAAAATTACTCTCTTTTTTTCCCCCTCATTTCGTACTTTAATTAATTTCATTATAGATAAACATATAAAATTCATAAATAATTTATGAAAATTTATTTCATGACCTATAGATAAAGATAAAAAATTTTAAAATTATTTAAAAATAATAATTTCATGATATAGATAAATAAACATATAAAAATTGATAAATAATTTATAAAGTTTAATTTCGTGGCCTACAGATAAAGATAAAGATTAAATAATTGATTTTCAAAAAATTAAAATAATAAAATTTAGATAAAGATATGATTTGTTAATCTATATATCTATCAAAAACATATATATCTAAATCTTTATTTTGATTTACTCTTTTTTTTTTTCTCCTATCACATATTATCTTTTTTATTTTAAATTTTTTATCTTATGAAATGCTCTTATCTATAACTTCTTATCTCCTATTAAATTCTTAACCTTCTCTTGATAATTTTTATTATTCGTTATTATCTACCAAATGATAAAGATTACTAAAAAAAAAAATTATCGCTCTGAAGGAGAATAGTATTAATAATGAAATAATAAAGGCTACATGGGAGAAGGTAGCACAAAAATCTCACAAAATTAATTTTCTTCACTATATTTATAAAATGTAATAATTTGAGATTCTTTCTATTAGTTATTAAAAATAATTTGCATTAGGTCATTGTTATGTTTTTTTTAAATTTTTTTTTATAAGGCTGTCATTCGTTATAGTATTTCTTCAATCTCATCTCTAAATTCTCTCTTTGAAATTTTTGTTTTTTCAATAATTAAGTTTAGAATCAATTTCTTATCAAATTTGTTTTCTTGATCCTTATTTTATTGAAGGATCGAGACGAATAAAACTTTCATATAATATATGAAATTAATGAATATAATACAAAGATGTAAGGGAAGTACTACATATTTGTCAATATCTCTATGTTATTATTAGTTGATTTGCTAGATTATACTATCAATTTAGAGCCCATATGATTCAATTCAATGTTCATGACTCTATTTGTATTTGATCATTTTTTCATTGAGTAACCCATATAATTTTTTTTTTTGGTATATAATGATTAAAGCTATTATTTGTTATATTTTTTCAAATACAATTCAAATAATTTTTTATCATTTTTTTATAAATAAAATGGATTAAAACTATTCTTTTATATAATTTTTATAATACTATGCCATTCTTATCTTGATTAATTTTTTTAAAATGACGTAGGAACTATGCAAGTATTATTCAAACTATGGAGAATGATTTATACTTTGATATGATATGAGTATGTCATTGATAGAGGAAATCAAAGATAGAGAGTTGCTAATATAATCAATTAATGATTTGTTTGAGAAGTTCTTTTTATAAGCAAGGCAACAAACTTAGATTAAAATTTTTTAAAAACTACTTATAAATTATAATTAAAAGTTGATATTTATTCATAATTTGATCTCACAATGATAATATACACCACTGATTTAAAAGTCCATGTAAATTTATATATATAGTATAGATATTATCAAGTGATTGTGATACTATTATTCTCAACAATTTTTATAATTAATAATTTCTTATGCATATCAAATTTTATTATAAAATTTTGTGGGTTAATTATTGTTAACATCTACCTAGATGGCTTAATATTATGGCTTGTCGCTATTAAGATATAATTTAAGATTAAGATAATTTATTTATCACACAAAATATATATAGTCTATTTTTTCGTGCATCGCACGGGTTACCGCTAGTGTTCATATAAATAGGCGAAAGGGTACTTTCCTAAATCCTAAGAATCATCTTTCTACTGTCCCCTCTCTCACTTTCTCTTCTCTCTCTATTCCCTTCCCTTGTTTTGATTGTGGATTTTCCAAAGTGGCAGGGGAGGAAGAAAGGGTGGAGAGGTAGGTGTGGGTTAGGGTTACTAATGCACCACTTGTTTTTGATGATTTTGAGTTTGTATTTTTCTTCCGCGTGTATGAAGGTCTTAGGGGTAGTCAGTTGGAATTGTTTGATATTATGTGACATAAATTCGTCGGGAAGAAAATTTTCCATTCTCAGATTTAATTGGCTTGAAATACACATTATTGCAGATGATTATAACTTTTTTTAGGTCTTGCAGGAATGTGGTTGGATTGTGAAGAATGCTTCTATCACAACACGTAGTCTTGTTTGGCATATACTAAAAACAGGCAAAAAGTCACTATCCTATTTAAGTCGCATTATCTTATTTAAATTACGTCGCATCTCTACGACATCACTTCAAACATAATTCATATTTCATAAAAGCTAAAAAATACACTTATTTAGAACACTTCAAACCACTCCTAACTTGCTTGTAAGATTTGAGGAAAGTATGATCATCTTGTCTTGTAACAAATTTTTCTTTTTCAGTTTTGAATGATAAAATTTAATACCATAATAATTCAAAGTTTAAAATTGTCATTGACAATTATAAGAGAGATCAGTATGACAATAATTTGATTAATTTCTTTCTAATATCAAAACAAAATTATTGTGTGCAGTGATGGAGCCAGAAATTAAATTAGAAGGGACACTTATTAATTATAAAATTAAAATTTTTTACAAAAATATTTCACACAAGTGTTTACGATTGATTTCGAGAAACATAAAAAAAATAATGTTATTTGTAACTAGTTTATCATGGACCAAAAAAAAATATAGATATAAGTCTTAAAATAAATTATATAATGATAAAAAAAAATTTATACAAAATTTAATTAAAAATTTAATATAATAGTAATACCACATCATCATTGATATGTAATATCACCAACTAATAGTACATAAACACATAGAGAGTAAACCTCACATATCAAATGTAACTAACAATCTAATAAATTTTATATCTTTATAGTAAGATTACTTATACTATGTAACTAACAATCTAATAAATTTTATATCTTTATAGTAAGATTACTTATACTTGCATGTCAATAATAATGAGATCACCGTTACATTTAAAAATTTTCATAGATAATATGGTTTATAATAGTCTCTTCATTTTCAATTAAAACAACCATTATTGTCTTCATAATTTTTAAAATGTCATTAACATTTCACTCTGATAATATTTTTGTAATTTTTTTATTTAAAATATTTTCTTTATATTTACAAATTTTTTTTTAAAAAAAATCTCAAAATCTAAGGAGGCACGTGACCCCGACCCCGTGGGCTTCACTCTCTCCACCACTGATTGTGTGTGTGTGCGTGTTTTTTTTTTTTGGTTAAATAAAAATAATAGAAACAACACAAGTTTGTAAGGTACTAAATGTTATAATTTTTTTTTTTTAAATACTACAGAGAAAGATTTTAGGGTTAATCTTATCAAAAAATACTCACGCAGGGCTGGCTTTGCCACATTGTTAGCATAGTACTATTTCAATTTTTATTTATTCATTTTTTTTAAAAGATGATTGAGTCCACTATTTTTAAAAATATTAAGTTAAAATACAGTTGCAGGGAATTGTTCGCTCTCATAGGCAGTTCCTCTCAAGTTTACATTCCAGATGTTCTTTCAAAAATCCCCATCTCGCCTCAAAAGGAGTGAGCACCGATCAACCCACCAAAGTAAGGCTTAGGATTGAAATTTTAGTATACATATACAATGCATAATTTACATGGTATTTTTTTAAATAAAAGATGCACTTCGGATGAAAAAAACATACTTTTGTTTGTTTGGTTTCAACTTTTTAGTTAAAAAAAGCACAAAAGACCAAATAAGTTAAATAAGTTAATAAGACAATATTATATTCAAATCATAATTATTTTATTTTTTCTCTTATAAAAATAAAAAAAATTAAAAAATTCAAATCAAACTGACTTTTAATCCCAAACTAAAATAGCTGAAAAATCAACTAAAAAAGTCTACTGCCAAATGACGACTTAAGTTCATACCTACAATGTAATTGCCAAATATTAGACTTTTGTATCAACTCAATTACAATATTTTTAATTTTTAATTTTGTAATAATTATTAATATATGAATTTGTTGGGCAGACTCCAGATTATAATACCGTTTCAGAGTAGGCCGTGAATTGAAACTATGAAACTCAAAGTCAGGACAGAGAGGGCCTCAACCAAGTACTCAACAAAGACTCAAAATGCATACAACGTGCAACAGTCCCCAAACAAATAGAATCTTACACAATTTGCAGATCAAATTTAGAGCCAAGAACCCAAGTTGAGTATTCAATGAAGACTCAAAATGCATACGGTATATGCGAGCAAATCCCAAACAAACAGAAACTAAATCTACACAAAGTTGCAACGCATGGGTGGTGCTCAAGGATACACACCGAGGAGGTCAAAGGATATAACAAGTAGCGTGAAGTTTACATTAAAAATGATCATATGTTCTAATCTTATATAACATTTATATAAATGACATTAATCTCTACCTCCAAACCAATGGCTTCACATGATTACATTAAGACAACCCTACCTCAACCTAAATCTACCTCCAATGGATAATGATAACAAGTAATTTAACATAAGACTAAAATAAAGATGAACCAAACTACAAGGGAAAGCAGATCCAACAGTTCACAACCCTGAAAGAAGAGAAATAAGTTTACACATGCCCTGTTATATATTCATGAATAAATTTAAAAGAAAAGATTTCATCGACAGAGAGGCCAGATTTGAATTTTTTTTTTTTTGTCAATTAATAAATTTTCATATTTTGGAAATTCTGCATTTTACCTCGCTTGTTAGCATCACTACCAAGTACATCAAGAGAAACAAGACGAGAATCACCGGTCACAGAAATTTGAGATCTTCGGGGAGCTTTGTGTCATGGCTTATGAATCTTGAAACCGAATACTCTTGGAACATAGCTCTGTGTTGCTTTTTGGGGTTTCAGATGCCCATATGTCATCAAAAACAGGTGAGGAAATGTAGTTCCAAAGTATGCACCATCAATATCTTGACGAAGTCAAGGAAATACATCATACAGAACATAAAAACTATGAATCATAATACAAAGAAGAAGAAAAAATAGTGCCATCAGCGAAGAACCAGGGACACTTCTTAGAAAGTAGCGTGTTGTATCCAACACTGACACAGTGACATGACATGACATGACACTTAACGAACACTTTCTACACTTAAAACACACATGAAACACTAGAGACAAGTTCAAATAAAATAACTTAGAATCCAATAATAAAACAAAAACAACGTAAATTTATACATATTCTCCTCTTTTATGACTTCTAAAATTATCATCTTTGACTTAAATATTCATACATGACATATAATAATTATTTACCCTTTTATATGACACAAAATTATATATTTTGCATTACATTTTTTAAAATTTGTGTTGGTGTGCCCGTGTCATGTGTTTGTGCTTCTTATGCCATCAGTGGCAAACATGTTCAATAGCAATGCAATGCTAATTGTCCAACGTAAAAAAGGATGTTTCCAGTGAACATGGCTTCCGTTTACTGCAAGGTTTAGGAGCGGATAATACTTGTCATTGTTCCAGGTCACGACCTCTAATCATCCAACATAATACGTTATGAACAAATAAAGTGGACAGAAACAATACACAACCTATATTGCAGGACTACAATAGTCCCGGTTTATCTGTCTATCACCTTCTGGTTTCAACAATAAGAACACAATACCAATTGGGAAGGGGAGCAGCTATTGCCCAAGGAAGTAATGCATTGTTGAGTTGTACTTTAAAACTGTTCAATGAACAAATAGCCTCTTCAGCTTTGGCTCTAGTCATGTCCATTGGAAACATAAGATATGCTGAAGAATACATCTACTAAATGTAAGCAATTTTTGTAGCACATAATATAAGCAGCCAAAAGCATAACAAAAAAGAAATTGGTGCAACATAAGGATACTGCCTTGGTACTTGGATCGAGGGTAGTAAATATCTTCGCATTTAGGACAGTAAATTTTTACAGTACTTGAACGTGGAATGTCTGATTGACCAACTGGAAGGCAGGGTTGACCACAGCAGTAAACTCTTGGGCATCTCCCAAAGTCATAATTTTTGTACTTCTCTAACTGTATATTATTAGGGCATCATTTTAAGCAAGAAAAATATGAAATAGATAGTTAAAAAAAAAAAATGAAAATGAAAAGGTAGATAAACTAACTTATGATCTTACCATTGCTGCCATTCCCTTGGTGGTCAATATGTATCGAACATGTATCATACCATACAGCATCTCTGCTGCCGATTCAACCAACTCATTCTGTTCTTCAGTAAACATATCACCTGTACATGTCCACACCAAGGTAAGAAAATGCTTACCAGCAAAATCCAATGGATGTGTAGTCAATATTAGCCAACCCATCAATGTCCAAAGGACAGCTAGATGAAGTTAGGATTTTTAGACAAAAAATAACTTACTTGAAATGCAAATAAATCATTTGAATGATGAGAGTTGTATCATATCAATCCTCCAGAGTAATATCCATTGTGTAAATGAAAGTACAGGCAAATTGTATGAAGAGTCTGAATTTTAAGTAAATAGTGGCAACTTAGATCAGCTTGGATAAGATATCTACTTGGATTTAATGCTGAAAATCAACCAGCAGAAACATGATGTAGCTCATTTTGATTATCCAGAAAAATGTCTTGCCACATTATCCAGAGAAATAATTGTGTACAGGTACTCTCTTGTATAGCGTTTGCCTTACTAATAGAGAGCCAATTGTTCAAGAGGATGGGTGATGGAAAACTCTGCCAAACATAGTTAATTTTTACAATCTAACAGTGCAAGACTTTTGTGTTTGGCAGACTTTTGAAAACTCTGCAAAACATAGTTAATTTTTACAATCTATAGGTTGACTAATGTTGATTTGATTTTGCATGTAAAATATATTTACTAACTAAGGCCTCGTTTGGGAACATGCTAATTTAGTAACTTTTTGGCTATTTGGCTAAAATATGAACTAAAAAAAACTAGTGTGTTTGGGATAACTTTTTGACTTTTTATGAAAAGATACGCAAAAAGTAGAGAGAAAAGAGAATATTTGACTTTTTGGTATGGGTTGTTAGCTTTTTAGTTTTTTTAGTGACTTTTTGACTTTTTGGCTAAACGGGATGCTTCCCAAACGAGGCCTAAAAGCCTCAAAATGAACCCCCTGAACATTGGAAGCATACAAACAATTGAATTAACAGTCATATAATTGAGAGAGTTGTTTCATCACACAAAACCTATATAACGGACTGGGTGAAAAACATTGTAAGCAGCAATACACCTATTTGGGGAACTATATAAATCATAACGGCACTTCAAAATTGCAATTCTTAGGCTGTAGTAATAGAACAGAGATCACAATAACTCCATGTATTATCCCTAAATTTGCTAGCTCTATTATCCCTAAACACAGTTTTCATATCTTCAAAGGGTTACTAAACCTTAAGCAGTACTGATAGAAAATTGTAAGCAATACACCTATTTGGGGAATTCAAAGTAAATTGACTTAAATGCACTGAAATACTTACCATGAGAGGACTCAACATCCAGAATTAGATCCAGTGCATAATCATAATATGGAACTTGACTGCTTAACCCACAAAGATTGAAATCATCTTGGATGTAATCATCATCGACTTCGCAGAAAAATTCATTTCCCCGCAAATTGCAAAACCATGAAATCCAAGATGTGTCGTCCCCATCAGAACCACTAACATCAGACTCTTCACTGTCTGTGTCAGATTCCTCTGCAATATCAGCAAACATGAACATATCAATTTCAACAAAGTAGGGAATATGCAAGTTCAAAAGTATTTCCTACACCTCAAAACAAAAAGCATTTTGATTTTGTCCCCAATAAATTACAGTAAATAACTGAAAATTTCAAAGAGAGAAAAACAAGCCTTAAGGGATTTGGCCCATAACTTGACACAAAAGCAATTATGAAGAAAAGCTATTACAGCCAAGAGGAAGCAAAACAAGCACAGGATAAAGTTCATCAACAAAGATTACATATAGAGTCCATAGACTTCGTTATCTACGGCATAGAAATGGGACGCAGTTCATTCAGAAGCATATCATGGACCCATGACAGGACTGTTTCACAATGGCATCCAAAAACCACTAGAGCTTCTATCAGTACTGCATAAGTTATTACTCTCTAAATACTAGGAACAAATAGCAATACTGGATGAAGTGAAAATGGCTTTTGGTATAACAGTACTGTAATATAAGTGAGATGCCGGTGATGTCATCCAACCATAATTTCTCTAATGATCCTACTCACACTTTGACTTTTGATAATATCCCACTTAAGCAATTCAGAGAGAAGAGTCATGAAATGCATGCTTGGTGCACTTTCTTTTTGCTAAATGTGCATGTTCTAACCCCAATTTGGTGTATTTACATTTTAATGTATTTAATTATATTTTGTCACAAAGGTACAATTTACCATTCATATTCATTTTATATTGCATAACAAAATCTACTATTTACCTCTTGTAACCAAATTAAGCAATCATAACGTTTATGATGCAACCAGATATGGTAATTTTAGCCTACAAAGATATTTATAATTTCATTGATTCATTAGAGTTTATTTCTTCAGTGTAGTACTACTATTCACAAAGTTACTGTTCACAACATTAAATCATTCTGGAACAACCTTAACACTCCGTTTGGATTGAGTGATTTGATAAGAAAAGAAGAAAAAAAATGGCAAGAAAGAGATCTCGCACCATTTGTTTGGATGATTAAAAAGATGAAAAATGGTGAGAAAGTAAGAGAAATGGTACGAAAGAGAAATATCTTAAAACTCTCCTTTTTTTTTTTCATTGACTATGTATAGATACTTTGTTTGCTAGGAATTTCATAAAATAATATTGGAAATTACACGAGTAATCCTTACAATTTGGTTCTTGTATCATTTTGGTCCTAGTAATTTCAACTGACTCGATTTTTACCCTGAATTTATGATTTTGTTTCAATTTGATCCAATTAAAGGCATTTTTTTTAGTGCTTTTGACGAAAAATGTGCGCAGAATCTGCACGTGTCATAATTTTATAGGCAAACTTAGTAAGCTAACCTCAATTAACTCAGTGACAATTTTTCTTCAAAAACCAGTATCAATTGAATCAAATTGACACAAAATCTAAAATTAAGAATAACAAGGGAGATGATTGAAACGACATTATCAATTAAATCAAATTGACACAAAATCTAAAGTCAAGAATCAAAAGCGAGATAATTGAAATGACAAGACCAAAATGACCCAATGGACACCCGATATAATTTGCCCATTAAGATTTTAAGTCCCTACGCCATTTACTATTTCACTAACTCAAAGTTTTTTAAAAGGAGAATTTTACAATACACATGTCTTATCATATGCACCATTAGTTATGTCATTTTCTTCTTAAGTTATAACCAATATTCTTCTTTAGTCATGATATTATTCTGATATGTAGTTATGACTCAGATTCTCAGAAAGTATGGAATTATGCTATTTTCTTCTTTAATTATAAGGTGCACATGTATACACCTGTGCCATAGTCTTTCCCTTATTAAAATTTGTCTATGGTTTTCTCCTTTGCCATTCACCTAACAAAAAAAATAAAAGAAATCCAGTTCCACCAATGCAGACAAACAAAAGAGAATGACTTTGCATCCAAAACATAGATCACCATAGTCCTATAACTCCTATCAAGCTGCCCAACAGCTCAAGCGCGAATCCAGATCCCATGTATCACCAAAAAACATTGAAATTAAACTAACAAAACAAGCATGATTCAACAGTGTATCAATCAAAAAAAAAAAAAGAAAAAAGAAAAGGAAAATAATAAGAAAACAGAAACATACCATCAGAGCATTTGTTCTTGGCAGTGAGAGTAGACGACGATCGAGTGTCACGGTGATCGAGCTGCTGCAATTTTCCACCAGTAGAAGTTGACGGCAACGAAATTCTCTCTTTGTCTTTGTTGTTCAAACCTCTCGAAGTCGACGGCGAAGATTTTTCCAACTGCTTATCTAACGCCTCGTTGATTCGTTTCCGATCCAACGGAGCACCGACGATCTCCGACTTCGAGGATCCACCTCCTCCTCCTCGATCTCTATACATATTTTTGTCTTCAAATTCGAGAATTAGAGGTCTGGTTGGAGATTTGAAAGATGTTCATCGAACAGAGTAGAGACAGATCGGAGAGAGCAGCAGAGAAGATTGAGAAAGGAGTGGTAGATTAGGGTTTGATAGAGACGGTAGAAACTAGGGTTTCTAGTTTACATAGATACGGGAAGAAGAGAAACTCGAGTTCCTCGCTGTCTCTTTTTTTTTTTTTTTTTTTAAAATAAAAATAAATAAATTGTTCTCTCTCCCCTCTGCTTTGCTTTCTCTCTCAACAATAAACATGTGTGTGTGGAATACACATACACGTACTCAAGCTACAAATATCTCTCCACTTGAATTTTCAGTTTTTTTTTTTTTCATGATGAATGGAAGTTTATAAAAAATATATTTTGTTATTTTTGGGATACATGTCAAAATAGTTTTAAAAATATATTTTATATAAATATATGATAAAGAATGTAAAATTCTACATTAACAAAATTATATACTCCTATATAATTTATGCACTTTTGTCGTACCATGAATCACATTTATCTCGTGTTCAATTTTATATGTTTAATGAAAATTTAACATGCTCTATTTTTAAAATTTCAAAAGGTGAATTATAATTTTTATGTTAGTATTTTATATTATTTTATCTTATATTTTTTTAATTATAATAATCAACTCTTCTACAATGTAATCCTTCTATTAATTACAATTTGTTAAATTGAAAAAAAATATTTACACGGCACTAATGTATACTCTTTTCCAAATATAAGATGTAATATTAAATAATGAAATTGAACATTCAATACAATCAATGCATTTTGACAACATGGAGGACAGCGACAATAAGCATCTCATCCCAATTTTACAAACAAAAGATTGAAATTTTTGTTCTGTCTCACAAGGAATTGTATAGGAATTGTGTATTCTTGTATTGAGTTGGGAAAAGAAGGAGGATGAGGGGGGAGGGGGATGGGACAAAGAGATTAGAAAGATTGTCAAGGGTTGGTGTGTGAGGATGGGGTTATGGAGAGAAGGATTAAGGGGCTACTATGGAGACAGAGAGGTAAGGAGAGGGTTGTTGGTAAGGGCGGATATGGGTGGATGGCCTACTAAATTCGCTTGAGTTTGCTTACAATTTATAGAGTTTGAGATTATGGTTTAGATTTATAAAATTAGATTGGACAAAATTTTTAAACCTAATTATAATATAGAGAAAGTACTTCAAGCTCAGCTTAGCTCGACTTGCTCACAAATTATATTATACAATATGCTTTTATAAATATACATAATTATATGTTGTTTAACTTTTTTTATTTTTTTATTTTTTATAAGTATATATGATGTATTAATAGTTAGAAAAATTCTATTCTTACATAAAATTCATACAAAAACTTGACAATAATGATGTAACAAAATCATTATTGTAAATAAATACATTTTTAACGGTATTTTATTCTGGAGTGAAAGATCTATAATGAGTCACATCATTATGTATAAATTTTTTATTTGTACAACATTATTCTATATTAATTATAATTTTTTATTTTAAAATTTGAAATTTTTTTTCATATTAAACAATAATTGGACTATATGGATAGACTTGAGAATTTTTATTTTATTTTTAGATGGCCTTAGGAATAAAGTATAGGTTCGATCCCGGGTTAAGTTATGCGTGAGAAATGACTTTAAATATTATTATATAGTATACATTTAACCTGAAGCAACTCATGTCCACACCCAATTGTAGCAAGTGGATGTGTGTGGAGTAGAGATGGAAAAGCCATCGGGAGTAGGAGTGAGGGTGACGGTGATTGGAGAGAAGTAACATAAGATAGTGGTTGCAGGGAAGGGGTGAGGCGGCGATGAGGGGTAGGAAGGGGCAAAGGGGATGGAGGTAGGTGGAAAAAAGTGGTGAAGGGATGGATAGTGAGAAAGGGTGAGGGGTTGGTGGTGGTTGGAGGGAAGTAGATTGTGAAATGTTTGTTCCTTTTTTGCCATGATGGTTCGTTTTGTTCAAGGTCAAAATAGAGAGCAAAAGTGAGGACATAAAAATGTCATTTTAGTCAATTATCTTTCACATCAGTGTTTTGTAGTTTCATGTCGGCATCTTAGCAAAACGGTTATTAACAGAAAGAGCCACTTGACTGTAAAATTCAATGTACAGCACAAGTCTGCTGAGTAGGGTATTTGGGATACATTATATAAGTATATTTTTTATTTTTTTATTGTCAAATTATTTTTTTATTTTATATATATATTTTAGCAAAAAATTAAAAAATACACCTATTTAAATTATTTTAAACAACCTCTAAATGTACACCATTCTTCTTTCTTACCTTTCTTTAACTTTAAATTTAGAGTAAATTACATTCATTTTTGAGATTTAAAAAAATACAGTTAATTCTAAAATTTTTACATAATTATACTGATCTTTCTTAAGATTTTAATTCACACAACATTTACATCATTTTTTATCAGTAATTTCTTAGTCTTATGAAAAAAATAAATAATGTCATCATCTCTTTTATACTAAAACATATATTTATCTTTATCTATTTCATTGTCTATGCACAATTGAAATAAATTTCTATCACTTTAACCATACTAGAAGGAAAGTTAGTGTAACTATATCAAAAATGGGGCTAACTGCATTTTTTTCAAAACTGAAGGAGCGTTAGTGTGATTTACCTTTAATTTTAAATGCAATTTTAATTTTCAGAAGTATTGTTCAAACAAGAAAAATAATGCTTTGAAAAACTTATCATTCAAAAAATACTTTTTTAAATATATGCAAAGTTAACTAGGAGAAATGATGAAATTTTTTGAAAGAGATGTAATACTCAAAATTAGGGTTGTTCAAAAATTCGCCGTACCCGTCCCATCGAGCAACCCGACTCAATCAAACTTGTAAGTAATGGTCGGTTTAGTTATATAGAACAGTTGGCCCAAGGTTTTACCTTGTAATTTTTTTGGGCGGTCATTAGAGGTCAATTTTGGAATTCACACACCCAACCAACTTAACCCATACAAAGATTAACAAAAGAAAATGCTAGAGGTCTCAAATTTTTTACCAAATAAATGACCAAATGTCTTACATGGGTGTGGGGTCCACAAAATTGCGGACCCCACACCCATGTGAGACATTTGGTCATTTGTTTGGTAGAAAATTTGGTGTCCCTAGCATTACTCATTAACAAAACCCAAACAATGATTTAACACAAATAATTAAGCTGGCATACACGGCAGGAGGCTATCTTCCTCTCTCCCCATCAAGAACAATCATCTAGAGTCCCTAATCCCATCAGCCCTCTCTCAAATTTCAATCCTCCTTGATTTCTCTATTGTAAAAACAAACCCTAACCCCCATCTATCCCTTGATTCCTCTTTACTGCAAACAAACCCAAGTTTTGTTTTATTTATTTTTTATTTTTTTTCTACTATCACATTAATAGAGCTTATTTTAAATTTTTTCTTTTAGAACTCTCTATCATTGCCTTGTATAATCAGTGTGTTAGCGTCATCACCCGACATCCATCATGACATAGTATCATCATTATGCCCTTTACTTTTTCTTTTCCTTTATTTTATTTTATTTATTTATCAATTTGTTTCTTTTCTTCTTGCAGCTCATTTATTTTATTTTATTTTATTTATTTATCAATTTGTTTCTTTTTTTTCTTGCAGCTCGTTTTGCCTATAAATTGAGAGCTTGGCAGAGACGCACGGGGCAAGGGAGATAGCTGGGAGCTCAAGAGTGGAAGGCAGAGTGTGGTGGTAGAATGTATAGTGTTTCTTTTGTAGAGTGCTATAAAGCACGAGTGTGAGTATGAGTGCGGGTACGACGATACGTCAAAACTCAAAAAAAGTATGATATGAGTACGACTGCGGTAAGTCAATAATTTTTTTATTTTATATATATATTTTTAATTATGGTTAAAGGATCTAACCTACAAATTAAAATTCAATATCAAAACTAAAAGGAGAATTACAAAACTAAAAGACAAATCATATTTCAATTCAACAAAGAGGAGCATTTTCATTTCCAGATTGATAAATATTAATAATTAAAGTTATAAATTTTTCTATTTTTTTGTAAATACATTTTGTCTCCTCTGCTGAGGTGCAATTCCTCCAATAATAAATCAATGTACATTTATGTTTGGAAAGAAAAATATCAAATTAATAGTAAATTTTACAAATTTTAATTGTTAAAGGTAATTTTTATTTATAATCATGTAATTACTTTTTAAAAAATACAATCTACTTGTAATTTTTTTGGGGAGTATTTTGGAAATTAGTTATTTTAATTATTAATTTTTATCGTATTGACTTTTTAGTGTATTTTATTTTTTAATGAGCTAAATTAGTCCAAACTTGATTCCCAAACGAGGCCTATATTATTCTCTACTTTTTTTTACTCATTTTCATTTTGAGGGTAAGGGTGTAGTTCTTCCACCATACCTAATATCTGCAATGAAAGCTCATAAGCTGATTAGTAAGGGTTGCCAAGGGTATTTGTGTAGTGTAATGAATGATCAAACCATGGACACTACCTTAGATAGCATACCAATAGTAAGGGACTTTTCAGATGTGTTTTCGGAAGAGTTACCAGGACAATTGGTTAATAGGAAGATTGAGTTTACAATTGGTGTAGTATCGAGTACTCAACTGATATCTAAAACTCCATATCACATGTCTATTATTGAAATGAAAGAATTGAAAATCCAATTGCAGGAATTACTTGATGAGGGATTTATTCAACCAGGTACATCAACGTGTGGCGCACTGGTCCTTTTTGTAAAGAAGAAAGATGGTACCCTCCGATTGTGTATTGATTACCGGGAACTCAATAAGGTAACTGTGAAGAACAAATATCTTCTGTCGTCTATTGATGATTGGTTTGATCAATTGCGAGAGGCTCAGGTATTTTCGAAAATTGATTTGAGATCGGGATATCATCAGTTAAAGGTTAAACCCGAAGATATTGAGAAGACTACCTTCCGAATCAAGTATAGACATTATGAGTTTTTAGTCATGCCTTTTGGAGTCACTAATGCACCTGTAGCTTTCATAGATTTGATTAATAGAATCTTTAAACCTTTCATAGATGACTTTGTTGTTGTATTTATTGATAATATTCTGATCTATTCAAAAAGTAAAGATGACCATAAAAAATACTTGAGAACAATCCTTCAAACACTCAGAGAGAAACAATTATATAGGAAATTCAAAAAGTGTGAATTCTGGTTAGATGAAATTACATTTTTGGG